CAATAATGGGGTTTTGGGGGGGTTTCATTCAATAATGGGGGTTCATGGGGGGTTTCATGGTCAATAATGGGGCTTTGGTGGGGATTCATAGTCAATAATGGGGTTTTGGGGGGGTTCATGGGGGTTTCATGGTCAATAATGGGGTTTTGGGGGGTTCATGGGGGGTTTCGTGGTTAATAATGGGGTTTTGGGGGGCTTCATGGGGGGTTTCATGGTCAATAATAGGGTTTTGGGGGGTTTCATGGTCAATAATGGGGGTTTGGGGGGGTTTCATGGTCAGTAATGGGGGTTTGGGGGGTTCATGGGGGGTTTCATGGTCAATAATGGGGTTTTGGGGGGGTTTCATGGTCAATAATGGGGGTTTGGGGGTTTCATGGTCAGTAATGGGGTTTTGGGGGGGTTCATGGTCAATAATGGGGTTTTGGGGGGGTTCATGGGGGGTTTCATGGTCAATAATGGGGTTTTGGGGGGGTTCATGGGGGGTTTCATGGTCAATAATGGTTTGGGGGGGTTGGGGGTTTTCATGGTCAATAATAGGGTTTTGGGGGGGTTTCAGTCAATAATGGGGTTTGGGGGGGTTTCATGCTCAATAATGGGGTTTTTGGGGGGTTTCATGGTCAATAATGGCGTTTTGGGGGGTTTCATGGTCAATAATTTTTTGCGGGGGGGGTTGGGGTTTTCATGGCCAATAATGGGGTTTGGGGGTGTTTCATGGTCAATAATGTTTTTTTGGGGGGGTTTCATGGTCAATAATGGGGGTTTGAGGGGTTTCATGGTCAATAATGTTGGTTTGGGGGGGGGTCATGGTCAATAATGGGGTTTGGGGGGGTTCACGGGGGGTTTCATGGTCAATAACAGGGTTTTGGGGTGGGTTCATGGTCAATAATGGGGTTTTTTGGGGGGGGGGTTTGGTGTGTTTCGGGATGTTGGGGTGGTTGGTGGTGTTCTGGGGTGTTCTGGAATTTTTTGGGGGTACTCTTGGGAGGTCTGGGGGCGGTTTGGAGGTTTTGGGGTGTTTTGAGGTGGTCTGGGGTTCTTTGGGTGGTGGTTTGGGGGTGTTTCAGAGGTCTTCCAGGGTGGTTTAAGGTGTTCTGTGGGTGTTATGGGGTGTGCTGGGGGTGTTTTGGGGTGTTTCAGGGTGTTTTGGGGGTGTTTCAGGGTGGTTTAGGGTGTTTTGGTGCATTTCAGGATGTTCTGGGGGTGTTTCAGGGTGTTTTGGGGTGTTTTAGGGTCTTTTGGGGGTGTTTCAGGGCGTTCTGAGAGTGTTTTGGGGCGTTTCAGGATGTTCTGGGGGCGTTTCAGGGTGTTTTGGGGTGTTTTAGGGTCTTTTGGGGGTGTTTCAGGGCGTTCTGAGGGTGTTCTGGGGCGTTTCAGGATGTTCTGGGGGTGTTTCAGGGTCTTTTGGGGGTGTTTCAGGGCGTTCTGAGGGTGTTCTGGGGCATTTCAGGATGTTCTGGGGGTGTTTCAGGGTGTTTCGGAGTGTTTCAGGGCGTTCTGGGGGTGTTTTGGGGTGTTTCACGGTCTTTTGGGTGTGTTTCAGGGCGTTTTGGGGTGTTTCAGGGTGTTCTGGGGGTGTTTTGGGGTGTTTTGGGGTGTTTTAGGGTGTTTTGGGGTGTTTCAGGGCATTCTGGGGGTGTTTTGGGGTGTTTCAGGGCGTTCTGGGGGTGTTTTAGGGTCTTTTGGGGGTGTTTCAGGGCATTCTAGGGGTGTTTTGGGGCATTGCAGGATGTTTTGGGGGTGTTTCAGGGTGTTCTGGGGGTGGCTTGGGGATGTTTGCGGGTGTTTTGGGGGACGTTTGCAGGTGTTTTTGGGGATGTTTGCGGGTGTTTTTGGGGATGTTTGCGGGTGTTTTTGGGGGATGTTTGCGGGTGTTTTTGGGGGTGTTTCCGGGTGTTTTTGGGGATGTTTGCGGGTTTGCGGGTGTTTTGGGGGACGTTTGCGGGTGTTTTTGGGGACGTTTGCGGGTGTTTTTGGGGATGTTTGCGGGTGTTTTTGGGGGCGTTTGCGGGTGTTTTTGGGGGACGTTTGCGGGTGTTTTGGGGGGCGTTTGCGGGTGTTTTGGGGGACGTTTGCGGGTGTTTTTGGGGGCGTTTGCGGGTGTTTTTGGGGGACGTTTGCGGGTGTTTTTGGGGGCATTTGCGGGTGTTTTTGGGGGACGTTTGCGGGTGTTTTTGGGGATGTCTGCGGGTGTTTTTGGGGGCGTTTGCGGGTGTTTTTGGGGGATGTTTGCGGGTGTTTTGGGGGACATTTGCGGGTGTTTTTGGGGGCGTTTGCGGGTGTTTTGGGGGATGTTTGCAGGTGTTTTTTGGGGTGTTTCCGGGTGTTTTTGGGGGTGTTTCCGGGTGTTTTTGGGGGTGTACCGTACCGAGGTGTACGCGCGGCCGCACATGCTGCAGCAATAGGCCTTGGCGTGTTTGATGGCGTGGGCCGAGAGGTGGATCTGCAGCGAGGCCGAGTCCGTGTACGCCCGGTAGCAGTTGGGGCACTTGTAGGGTTTGTCCTTGTTGTGCTGGCGCTGGTGGGACTGCGGAGTGGCACCGGGGGGGGTCACGGCAGCCATGACCCCCCTCCCCTGCCCCACAGCGGGGGCGGGGGGCTCTGGTGCCCCTAAATCCCACCACCCCCCCTCTTCTGGGGTACCCCTCCTTTCCTGCAGTACCCCCCAGCATCCTGGGGTACCCCCCCTATTTTGGGGTACCCCCCCAACCTGGGGTACTCCCCCCCCATCCTGGGGTACTCCCCCCCCCATCCTGGGGTATGCCCCCTATTCTGGGTTACCCCCCCCCCATCCTGGGGTACTCCCCCAGCATCTTGGGGTACCCCCAGGATCCTGGGTTACCCCACCCCATCCTGGGGTACCCCCCCTATTCTGGGGTACCCCCCCAGCACTGACCTGGAGGTTGGAGAGCTGTGTGAAGGCCTTCTCGCAGCCGGGATGCGGGCACTTGTAGGGTCTGTCGCCCGTGTGGATGCTGTGGGACGGACACACACACACACATCGGGTCATGCCCCACGGCTGTGGCACCAGGGACCAGTGATGGGGCAAAGAACGCAAAGGGGCACGGGGGAGACGTGGGGCTGGAGGGGATGAAGGTGATGGGCATGAGGAAGTCAGTGGGGACAAGAGAAGGAGGAAGAGACGAGTGTGGTGGGGATGAAGAAGGCAGTGGCGGCAATGAGCACAGTGGAGATGGATGAGCATGGTGGGGATGATGAAGGTGCTGGAGATCATGAGCGTAGTGGGGACGATGAAGACAGCGGGGACAATACGGTGGTGGGAACAGATGGGGATGATGAAGGTGCAGGAGACAATGAGTGTGGTGAGGATGGACTGGCACGATGGGGACAGATGGCCATGGTGGGGCAAATGAAGACGGTGGGGATGATGAAGGCAATGGAGATAATAATGTGGTAGGGATGGATGAGCATGGTCGGGATGATGAAGGTGCTGGAGATGATGAGCATGGTGGGGAGGACACAGGTAGTGAGGCCAATAAGCATGGTGGGGAGAGGGAAGCATGGTGGGGATGATGAGCATGGTGAAGATGGATTGGTGTGGTAGGGACAGAGAACCATGGTGGGGTTGGTGGAGGTGGTGGAGATGATGAACATGGTGGGGACTGTGAGCACGGTGGGGATGGACAAGTATGGCAGGGATGAAGAAGGTGCTGGGGGCAATGAGCAGAGTGGAGATGATGACCGTGATGGGGATGATAAGCATTGTGGGGACAATGAAGGTGGTGGGGATGATGAAGGTGGTGAAGAGAGATTGGTGGGGAGAGATGAGCACGGTGGGAGTGATGAAGATGATGGGGATGATGAGCATGGTGGGGATGGATGAGCACAGCAGGGATGAAGAATGTGGCAGGGATGATGAGCACCGTGAAGATGGAGGAGCATGGTGGGATGATGAAGGCGCTGGAAGAGGTGATGAGCATGGTGAAGATGGATTGGTGTGGTGGGATCAGGGAAGGTCATGGAGAAGATGAGCGTCGTGGGGACGATGAGGGCAATGGGGACAATAGGCATGGTGGGAATGGATGAGCAGGGTGGGGATGGAGAAGGTGATGGGAACCATGAGGGCAGTGGAGATGATGAGGGTGGTGGGGATGATGAAGGCAGTGGGGATGATTACCATGGTGGGGACAGTGAAGGTGGTAGAGACCATGAAAGTCATGCAAGGTGTCCCTGCCCATGGCAGGGGGTTGGAACTGGTTGATCCTTTCCAACCTAAACCATTCTGTGATCCTGTGATGAAGATGAAGGAGATGATGAGTGTGGCGAGGATGGATTGGTGTGATGGAGATGGATGAACATGGCAGGGTCAGTGAAGATGGTAATGATGATAAGCATGGTGGGGATGGGTTGGTGTGATGGGGTCAATGAAGGTGGTGGAGATGATGAGCATGAGAGTGGTGGGGATGGATGAGCACGGCAGGAATGAAAAAGGTGATGGGCTTGATGAGAAGAGTGGAGAGGACGAGCGTGATGGGGATGATAATCATGGTGGGGAAAATGAAGATGGTAGGGATGATGAAGGTACCAGAATGATGGGCATGGTGAAGGTGGATTGGTGTGGTGGGGAGAGGGCATGGATGAAGGTGGGGATTGGTGTGGTGGGGAGAGATGAGCATTATGGGAATGATGGTGGGATGGTGATGAAGTGTGGTGGGGATGGGGATGATGATTGGTGTGGTGGGGAGAGATGAGCATGGTGGGATTGATGAAGATGGGGATGATGAGCACGGTGAGGATGGACTGGCGTGGTAGGATTAATGGAGGTCATGGAGAAGATGAGCATTATGGGAATGATGAGGGCAATGGGGACCAGAGGCATGGTGGGAATGGATGAGTGTGGTGGGGATGATGAAGGCAGCGGGGGTGCTGAGGATGGATTGGTGTGGTGGGAACAGATGTCCATGGTGGGATTGATGAAGATGGGGATGATGAGCACGGTGGGGATGGACTGGCGTGGTGGGATTAATGGAGGTCGTGGAGAAGATGAGCATTATGGGAATGATGAGGGCAATGGGGACCAGAGGCATGGTGGGGATGGATGAGTGTGGTGGGGATGATGAGTGTGGTGGGAACAGACGTCCATGGTGGGGTCAACGAAGGTGATGACCAAGGTGGTGGGGACGGATGAGCACGGAGGGCATGGCGAAGGTGCTGGGGACAACGAGCACAGCGAGGATGAGGAGGGTGTCACGAGAGACGCCGGGTAGAGCCCCCACTGCCCCCGAGGGAAGCCGGGCTCACCGGGTGTGCTGCTGGAGGTGGGAGAGCTGCCGGAAGGACTTCTCGCAGTAGGAGCAGTGGTAGGGTTTGACGCCCAGGTGGATGCGCAGGTGCTGGGCCAGGTAGGAGGCGTTGGCGAAGGACTTGGAGCAATGGGGGCACTTGTGGGGCTTGGCCTCGGTGTGCGACTTGGAGTGGATCTGCATCTCCGACTTGGTGAAGAACGTCAAGGGGCAGACCTTACACCTGGAGGGGTGGGTGGGGGGGTGTGCGAGAACCCCACAGGGACCAGGCTGGGCTGAGGGAGCGGGGGCACCGCACCGGCCCCCCAAACCCCCAAGCGGGTTGGGGGGTGCCTACCTGTACGTCTTCCCCTCTTTGGCGGTCTCCCCCGAGGCCAGGATGGGGTAGGGCACCACCAACACCGGCGGTCCCGAGGGATTTTCCGCCTTGATCTTCTTCCGGCCCCGCTCGGCCTTGGGTGCCCCCAGCAAGCCGTGGCCCTGGATTGTCTTTATGGAGTCGAGGAGGGGGGGGCTGGTGATTCCTGAGATTAGGGTGGGCGAGGAGGCGATGAGGCGGCTCTGGCTGGTGGACGTTGGGGTCGACGGCGTGGTGGTGCCGGTGCCCGTGCTGGATTCCGACGTGCTGACCGCGGGCGCACGGGATGCCAGCCCCAAGCCTTGCGGGAGGGGGGGGCAAAGACAACACAGTGTGTGGTGTGTGTGTGTGTATGTGTTCATTATGGGGGTGTGTGTCCCCCCCTTTGCTCTTCTCTCACTGCGGGGTCCTCAATAGAAGCGGGTGCCCCCGTCGGGCTTTACCTGTGACGGTGCTGGTGGCCGGCCGCGCGTGCAGGGCCACGTCGGGCTGGGGCACGGCCTGCGGGTGCAGCCCGGGGACCTGCTGCAGCTTGGGCAGGGACATGATGGCCTGGCTGCCGTCGGCGGGCGACGGCGGCACCAACAGCGGCTGCTGCGACGCCACCGACGTGGGGGGCAAGTGCGGGGGCCGGATCTTCTCCGCCATCAACTGCTCCTTGATCTTGTTGATCAGGACCAGGTTGTCCAGCTGGAAGCATGGGGGGGGGAAAAGGGGGGGGGGGAGACATGGGGCAGGGTCAGGGGACCCCCAGCCTTTCCCCTCCACCCCATGTCCCCTTCCATGTGCATCCATCCCGGGATGCAGGGGGGGGGGGGGGTCCTACCTGGCTGGGCATGGTGGGGGGGGGCGGCCAGAAGTAGGGGTTGTTGAAGCGAGGCTCCGCCATCCTGCAGGGAGAGATGGGAATGGTCATGGAATGGCACCGGGCACCACAAGGACCCCATCTCCTGCCCCCCATCCCGCCCCCTTCCCGGGGGGGCTTGGACTGCACCAACCCCCAAAGACAGAGCCCTTGGGCGCTGGGAGCAGGGAACCCCCCCCCAGCATCCAGGGGATTCCTGCCTGGAAGACCCCGGGATGCCGCTTGGCAAGGGGGAAGGGAGGGGGTGGAATGTGGGAGGAAAACCCCGAACCTGCTGCTCCTCCAGGAGGGAGCAGAGGCGGGTGGGGAAACAGGGCCATGGGAGAGGGCGAGCGGACGGCGGCGCATGGCACCCACAGCAACCCGGGCGCATCCTGCTGAGCCCAGCACCCAAAGCGAGATAACGGCAAGTGAAGGGAGCGGTGACGGCCACAGCAGCTCAGCAGAGCCATAGAGAACCAGAGCGGAACCACAGCAGAACCATGGCAGAGCCATAGCAGAACCATAACAGAAACACAGCAGAACTGTAACAGAACCACAGCAGAGCCATAGCAGTACCACAGCAGAACCGTAACAGAACCATAGGAGAACCAGAGCAGAACCACAGCAGAACCATGGCAGAGCCATAGCAGAACCATAACAGAAACACAGCAGAACCATAACAGAACCATAGGGAACCAGAGCGGAACCACAGCAGAACCATGGCAGAGCCATAGCAGAAACACAGCAGAACCGTAACAGAACCATAGGAGAACCAGAGCGGAACCACAGCAGAACCATAACAGAACCACAGCAGAGCCATAGCAGAACCATAACAGAACCACAGCAGAACCGTAACAGAACCATAGGGAACCAGAGCGGAACCACAGCAGAACCACGGCAGAGCCATAGCAGAACCATAACAGAACCGTAACAGAACCATAGGAGAACCAGAGCGGAACCACAGCAGAATCATGGCAGAGCCATAGCAGTACCATAACAGAAACACAGCAGAACCATAACAGAACCACAGCAGAGCCATAGCAGTACCACAGCAGAACTGTAACAGAACCATAGAGAACCATAGCAGAACCACAGCAGAACCAGAGCGGAACCACAGCAGAACCATGGCAGAGCCATAGCAGAACCACAGCAGAACCAGAGCGGAACCACAGCAGAACCACGGCAGAGCCATAGCAGAACCATAACAGAAACACAGCAGAACCATGGCAGAGCCATAGCAGTACCACAGCAGAACTATAACAGAACCACAGCAGAACCGTAACAGAACCATAGGAGAACCATAACGGAACCACAGCAGAGCCATAGCAGAACTATAACAGAACCACAGCAGAACCATAACAGAACCATAGGAGAACCAGAGCGGAACCACAGCAGAACCACGGCAGAGCCATAAAAGCACCACAACAGAACCACAGCAGAACCACAAGAGAACCACAAAAGAACCACAGCAGAGCCATAAGAGAACCACAGCAGAACCATAGCAGAACCATGGCAGAGCCATAACGGAACCATGGCAAAACCATAACAGAACCATAGCAGAACCACTGCAGAGCCATAACAGACCCATGGCAGAACCATAGCAGAACCGAAGCAGAACCACGGCACAGCGGGCCCAGAGGGTTTATTGAGACACTTCCCACATTTTGGGGACATTAACTGGAAATTAACTCAAAATCCATCACTGGATAACAGGAAACCGGCGGGAGGGGATGGGGAGATGACACTGGTGTGAACGGGCATCACTGTGCCGTGCCCTGTGGTCGAGGGTCAGGCGTACCCCAGTGGAATGCATCCACCGGGAGCTGTAACATAAACCAGGATCCTGGCATCCTAAACCAGACCGGTGCCTCCGGCACAGCGCATCCCCAAAGCCTTCGGGGTGATGGGATTGGTGGCAGGGAACCAGCAGCCGGGGAAACTGAGGGAGGGAGAGCCCCCGGGCTCCTCCGAACGGTGCCGCTGCAGCCGGGAGCATCCCCGCTCCCATAGGAAGCCCTCTCCGGGCTCAGTTTTGGGGCACAACCCTGGTGATCCGGCGCAGCGCAAGAGCAGGCGCGTTTTGGGGTGCCCCGAACCAACACAACGGCGGCCGTTGGCAGCACCGAGGAACAGGAACCATCTCCATGGCAGATCCCAACGCCAAACCTCCCCTTTCCCACCTCCAACCGCTCGCCGGCACCTCCCGGCTGCCCATGCACCGAATTTGGGGGTTTTGGAGCAAAACCAGACCCGGATGCTCGCAATAGAAGCTGGTTTTCCGCCTCTTTTCCCTCCATCCACTGTATCCCCCAGCCTCCCTGCGGAAGCAGAGCTGGGAGTCCTGCTCTGGGATAGGGAATGCGCTTCCCCACGCACCCATCACCAGCTATCCTATAGTTATATATGGACCCATGTGCTGCCCACCCACTGTCTACCTATATATAACATGAGATCGCTCGGGATGCGGAGCACGGGATGGGGGGCACCGGGATGAGGGGGTGACGGCACAAAAGGCTAGAAGAGGAGGTGGCAAAAGGGAAAACTCCTTCTGGGAATGCTGGGGACAGGCTCCGGGTACCCCGGTCCGAACCACATCGCTCCGGCGGCACCCCACGGTGTGGGAAAACAGGAAGCAGGAGCTGTGATTAGAAAAGGGAGTTTGGGAGCTGCTCCCCATCACAGCAGGTACCCTGCGACCTCCTCCTGTCCTTCCCATCCATCCATCCATCCATCCATCCATCCATCCATCCATCCATCCATCCCTCTCTCCCTGTGCCTCCAACGGAGCCATCGGTGGCACCAAGAAGGATGCAACGTGCCCAAAGCATCCCTGGGATGCAGCAGGAATCACCGTGACCAACTCCAGGAGCCTGCTGTGGAGCCAGACCCAAAGGGTGTTTTGGGGGAGGAAAGCACAAATATCCCATGTGTGTCCCCCCCCTTCCTGACCTCCTCCTGGGGAGGTCTTGTCAATAAATGATGGAGGGACTGGAAAAGCTTGGATCTGCCCGGAAGAACGGGGGAAGGAACGGCCGGTGTGCCAAAACCAGCAGGAAAAGAAGGAGAAAATCCCTGTTCCTGTCGCGATTTGATGCTGGAATACTTCACTGGGAGGGAGTGCAGCGGCTGGCTGGGATGGCTGGGTGGGGGGGAGCGGAAAGCAGGTAGGATAAACATGAAATATATATACATAAACCCTCCCTTTTCCTATGTTCTCAGCTAACTATGAAAAATGGAAGCTGACATGCAGCAAAAGGAGGGGAAAAAGGGAAGAAAATCCATTAAAATGGAAATGATGAGGGATGGGGATGCTGCAGCGCGGCTCTGCCGGGCAAGGCTGGGGCTCTCCCTGCACCCCAGTTTTTGGTACCCCCCCCGGGTACCAGCTCTCCGGTGGCACCGAGCATCTCCCGGGGAAGAGCAAGGGGATGCCGGAGGGTGTCCCGAGGGATGCAGAAGGCGAAGCAGCCACCGAAGAGGAAGCGGGAGGATGCAGAGAGCCGCAAAGCCAGGGGCTGAACCCCAGATTCCCTCAGCACCCATCCGAGGACCGGGATAACGGCAGCAGCGCCTCGGGAGACCCTAAAAAGGCCCCAAACCCTCACGTTCCTATGGGGTGGGGTGGAGGGGGGGGGGGGGGAAGAGCATTGAGGAGCCAAAAGCCAGGGCAAAGTGGGGAAAAGGGGTGGGGGGGGGGGATGCTAAAAGAGGTGGGGGGGGGGACACCGGTGTTTTGGTACTCACAGGCTGGCCTCAGGAGCCAGGTGGCCGCAGCTGCCTGGGGAGACGCGTCGAGGAGGCTCCAGAGTGATGGGAGGTAGATGATGGCACGGGTGGGCACGAGCTCACTACAGCAACTTCCTACCCAACTGCCGCTAAGTCAAGCTACAGTTCTCTAGGGAACGCCTCTACCTTGGCAGCCCTCTCTGTCTCGCCTTCGCTGAAATAAAAAGAAACAAGAGATTTCTTTTCACGGCACCGCCGAGGGAAACGGGGCCTGAGCACCGGCAAATGGGGGTTCAGGGGGGTGCTGGAAAGGGGGGTGTGTGTGTTTACAGAGCCCTCAGCATCCCCCAACCGCAGCCTCTTGTCCCCATGCCAAGCGGCGAGCGCAGGGAAGCCGATGGGAGCGCGGCGGCGGGTGAGAGCCCCGATGGGTGCCCCCCCCCCCAAAGCACAGCCTCAGAGCCATGGGGCAGAGCGGGGATGGTGACAAATCCATGTCCCCACCGCCACCGGGTTAAGGGCAGAGCCTTGCCCCGCGCCG